TGGAGGGCTGGTGGAGGAGTGGAGGGCTGGTGGAGGGGCGATGGAGGAAAGAATATAACTCGTACCCTTCTTGAAGCTGAAGTGACCTTAGTTATATAACCAACCGAATATTTAGCTGTAGGTCGGTCTCTCTACAAACACATATTAAGTCTCCCTCTTAAACAGCTCCCACCATTAAGTAAACAATCATAAACCAACACTATTACAGCTTCTCGGGTGAGCTAAAATATTCATATTATCGACTGGTGGGGTTTTGTAGATCCCTGGCTATGAATAATAAATTAAATAATAACAATACTACTCATACTACATCTACAACAACAACAAGAACAACAATAATAACAATAACAATAATAATAAACGTAATAATATCAACAACAACCACAGAAAACGTCATATGAGAAGCACTAACTAATCTATATCAAGGGAAGACTACGACCATCTGAGATTTACGACGATGCTAACCTTTGAGGTCTTTATGTCTTAGCCAACTTTGCATGCAGCGCGGATAGGGCAGCGGGGTGTGAGGGGGATAGGTAAAAGGTCTTTGTTGGGGAGTAGACAAAGAGGGTGAGTTGGTGTTTTGGAGGGCAGTAGGTCTTTGGGCTTTAGGATAAGATGATGTGGGTTTTTTTTTGTGTGGGTTGGTAAGACGGGGTTTGGATGTCAAGGTGTGTGGTTGTCTACGTGACCAGTCGTGTGGGTGAGTGGTTAAGTGGGGGAAATGGGTGATTGTTGTGGTTGTGTGGGGGTCGTGTGGTTGTGTAGGTCGAGTCCAGTGCGGTCTCTCAGGGTTACACTACCTACCAACTTTACATTCGGCCAATAACCCGCCTACTGATAGCTACTTACTGTCTCCTTGTAGTCTCTAAGGTTAGCCCAGGCAAATACAAACTTGAGGAAGCTTCGTCAGACGTTGGTTCGCCTACTTTCCCTCCATACCACAATGGCATCAGACAAACATTCGATCGCCAGCGCAAACATTCAACAGCGCCTGACGTTCCCCTCCATCCCACAATGACATGTTTATGGAATCTACGACAGACGGATGCTCGCCTAGCCTTCTGCCTCCAGTGGCGTACGTGTTGGTTGGGGAGAGATGACGACCTCGGGGGAGTAAGCATTCCTAAGACTCCTTATGAGGCGTCTAATGATAATAACCTATAATGAATGAGTGACTGACGGGTGTGAGGTACTGATGAGGCAGACAACGCAGTACCTCTCTATTTATATCCTCTCTGTCAAGTAACCTCGATGTTCTTACCAATATTCATTTTCCTTAGACGTATAGAAAGCTGTAATATTTCTTAATTCTTTCTAAATTATGGCAACATGAATCTTACTTTGATGTGGAAGAAAAGTCAGGAAGGTGTGGGCAAGAGGCGGGGCAACGGAGATAAAAATATCCCATTTAGAGTTCAGAGTGGCAGGTGAGAATAGGAAACGGTGGGCAAGACGCCAACCCTTCCACTCATCCTCCCGTCCTCCCGACCTCCCGTCCTCCCGTCCGCCCGACCTCCCAGGCCCTGGATAGACGGGAGACCGGGGATGTTTCTTGAACTCTCTGTGGTCGTCTAACACCAATCCTGGGAATTCTTTTGAGGTCTTAGAGCCACCCACACACACACACACACACACACACACACACACACACACACACACACACACACACACACACACACACACACACACACACACACACACACACACACACACACACTACACCAGCAGCAGCTCTCCAGTATTCAGGTCTGAGAAATTAACCGGGAAAAGGTCCAAGGGGTCTTTGGTCTTAGTAATTGGCCTGAGGAGCAAGATGTAACAAGTCTCCACGGGTCTTAGTATCAGATCTGGTCAAGGACTGAGAGCTGGTGTGTGAGGTCATCGACGAGGTAGGTCACTTAGATCACGTTATCTCGGGGTTGGGGGCCAGCCAGACTGACCCAGCCTCAGCTTCAGGGGTCAGTCAGTAGCTCAAGGCTCCGGTCGTGTCAGGTGAGTGGGGGTGACCAGGACGTGTAAACAAGAAGGGAGGAACTACGTCACATTTGTTTACCTAGACCTCAGTATGGCGGGAGGAACTACGTCATATTTGTTTACCTAGACCTCAGTATGGCGGGAAAGAAGTGAAATAGAATATCTTAGAACGTAATTTCTTTTAATATATCTATTAAGACGCCACGACACATTTTACAGATGGTAGAGAGAAAAAAACAGTTAAATAAAAGAGAAAATGGAGAAGGGAGAAAAAGCGAAACATAAAACGATTCAGAAAATGAGAAAAGGGAATGAAAGAAAATGGGAGAGAGGACACACACACACACACACACACACACACACATGCCACACACACACACACACACACACACATAATCTCAAGGCTATCTCGCTGGGTCTCTGACATAATTCAGTCTTATAGCAGGTCTCTCCTCTATTCAGCATTCCTGATCTAGACGAAGCCACAGGAGAGAGAGAGAGAGAGAGAGAGAGAGAGAGAGAGAGAGAGAGAGAGAGAGAGAGAGAGAGACCCCCCAACCACTAAAGACCTTCATCAACCAGTACACTAAACACAAAGTCACTTCTCAACATTTATCATTCACAGTGAAGAATAAACAACAACAACACATTCTATTATTCATCCTAACCACAGTGAAGGGAACAAACCATCATTCACTGTGTATTAACGAGTGAAAGACTGAACTAAGAATGAGGTCGGGTCAGGGAATGGTTACTGGTTCTTCACGTTAACAGGTTTGGGACGAGTTGGAATCATCCTCATAGTAAAGATTTAAGAACAGTATCTAAGGTACTGTATAAATATAGTCACAAATATTATACTAAAAAAATACTATAAAAAATAAGTAATTGTTGTTGTAGCCAAATAATAGTTAACCCCGAGGCTGTTGAAAGAAAAGGTGTAATTTCTCAACATGAGTTAGAAGGAAATATATTTATATACGCAACTTTTAGAATGTGGAGACAGGAGGCAGGGGGCAGAAGAGAGGAGACAGAAGATAGGAAAAAGGAGACAGGAGGCAGAGGATAGGAGGTAGGAGACAGGAGGCAGGGGGCAGAAGAGAAGGAGACAGAAGATAGGGGAAAAGGAGACAGGAGGCAGAGGGTAGGAGGTAGGGAGACAGGAGGCAGGGGGCAAGAGAGGAGACAGAAGAGGAGACAGGAGACAGGGAGGCAGAGGGTAGGAGGTAGGGAGACAGAAAACAACAAGAAACAGAAAAAAGGAGACAGGAGGCAGAGGGTAGGAGGTAGGAGGCAGGGGGAAGGATTAGCCGGCCTCAGGTCCCCTCCACCCGTCTTATCAACAAGGCACCAGCAGGGAATTTCAATCAGCACTTAAGAAGGGGACTGGCCACTCCCGGTCCACCACACCATTCATTTAAATGTTTGTTGTTGTTGTCACAGAGATGTTTAGTTGTTCGCTGAGGGTGTTTACTTGTGTACTGTGTAAAACTAAGTCTATGTACACGTTAAACATGTTGTATTTATGTCGGGTTAGTGGTTGACTGTACGGAAAATAAGTCTATCTTGGTTTAAAACGACATCAGCAAAATACAGCAACACACAACCTAACACTAAAATCCACAATTAAATAAACAAAACTTGAAACTAATCCCCTCAAAAAGATTCACAAGATACGAAACATCCTCCTCTACTGTTTACTTAAGTTACCCCTAGAGAAAATAGAGAATGTAACATACGGGGACAAAATCAGAAAACGGGGAAATTTATCAGGACTCGGACGCATAAAGCCGACCTCGAGGACAGTTACACCGACACGGGCGGCCAGTGAGGTAGCGGACGGAACTCCATGCACACTGACCAAACACAATACCCACTTCTTCACCACTGTACAAAAATAAGAACACGAAACAAGAAATACCTTCCTGTTAACTGATCTTTGAGACCAATAGAACGATTAAGGGTTAACTGCACCATTTTGTAATCTAATAGTGAGTTCATGTTAAGGTGGATAATGAAAGGTATGGTTAATGTTTTCAAGAATATTAACCTTAGTTCATAGTCTGGTGGATAATGTTAATGTGTTTTTGTGGGTTAAAATACTTTTGTTAATTTGTAAATGTTTCTTAGATATTGAGACGTAATAGACTGTGTTTATACAAAATAGATATATACTTGTATTGAATTGTTTATGTATTAACATCAGCTGATATCACAAACAAAAGTTGACATCATAAATAACATCTGATATCATAAACATCATCTGACATCATAAACAAAAGCTGACTTCATTAACAGCTGACTTAATTAACAAAAGCTGACTTCATTAACAGCTGACATCATAAACAACAGTTGACATCATAAACAACAGTTGACATCATAAACAAAAGCTAGCATCATTAACAGCTGACATCATAAACAACAACTGACATCATAAACAACAGCTGATATTATAAACTTTCACAACAGAAGAGAAAAACCAAAATGTCACAGGGTACAAACATTACTCGGCAGCTGTTTAAGAAAGCCTCAGGTCCTGCAAATCACTGAAAAAGAAATTAGAAAGTTAACCTAATCTAACCTAATCTAACCTATATAGTAGACGGTGTTTCCTAATCTTGGTACCTATAGCAAGAAGAATAAGAGGGGGAGGAAGAGGAGAAGAAGAAGAAGAAAAAGAAGAAGAAGAAAAAGAGGAAGAAGAAGAAGAGGAAGAAGAAGAAAATAGAATTAGTTAAAGATGCCTAATGACCTTGTTAGTTGAATTACCTTAAAATAATAATAACAACAACAACATAATTAGCGAACGGTGCCCTAACAACCTTGGCACTTGGCACCTGATGTTCTTAAACCAACTAAAAGAAGAAGAAAAACAGACATCAGTAAACGGTGCCAAATAACCCTGGCACTTAAAAGAACCACACACACACACACACACACACACACACACACACACACACACACAGGTCAGCATCCAATAAAAAATGTTACCTACAGATAAAAAGAAATTAATTAATCTTTACCTTGATCGTGTGACTCCACCTGAAAGATTCGCTGTAGGTCTTCTGTGCTCATAGACTTGTGGATCTGGAAGTAGAAAATGGCATCAGTTTGTTTACATTTAGCTAAGGCGAATAGAAAATGGCATCAGTTTGTTTACATTTACCTAAGGCGAATAGAAAATGGCATCAGTTTGTTTACATTTACCTAAGGCGAATAGAAAATGGCATCAGTTTGTTTACATTTAGTTAAGGCGAATAGAAAATGGCATCAGTTTGTTTACATTTAGTTAAGGCGAATAGAAAATGGCGTCAGTTTGTTTACATTTAGCTAAGGCGAATAGAAAATGGCGTCAGTTTGTTTACATTTAGCTAAGGCGAATAGAAAATGGCGTCAGTTTGTTTACATTTAGCTAAGATGAATAGAAAATGACGTTAAGGTGTTTATATTTAATTAGTGTGAATAGAAGAGAGAGAGAGAGAGAGAGAGAGAGAGAGAGAGAGAGAGAGAGAGAGAGAGAGAGAGAGAGAGGATAACACAATGATAGCTAATATGGTACTCAATTTACACTGAGACTCTACAGTATACCTTAACTTCATGCGTTCTGTCTAGCCCAGTTAAGTGAAGAATTTAACCCATAAATCTTTTGAGAATACGAATGAAAACGAGAATTCTGACGTAAGTTATGGTCTTGTGCATGTTTATAGGAGGCGAGGTCAGCGTTTGTCAGTATGTTTATAGAAAGTGTTTGTTTGGGGTGTGTTTGTGTGTTTAGGAAGAGGTTAAGTTTGTGTTTGGTGTTTGTTATGGACGTATATGTATGTTTGTTAGTCGGTAAGTGTGTGTGTGTGTGTGTGTGTGTGTGTGTGTGTGTGTGTGTGTGTGTGTGTGTGTGTGTGTGTGTGTGTGTGTGTGTGTGTCGTGTTTGTACATGCATTTGGGTGTGTCTGTCTAGCTATACGTATCCATAAGCGTAAAATTACAAGGTATTTAAGAGAAAAATGTCACCGTGTCACCCTCTAACACCATAACACACCACACCACACTACACTTTTCACACACCACACTCACACCACACCACACCTTCACACACCACACTCCACCACACCATACCTTTACTACACCACACACACACCTTCACCACACACATACCTTTTACTACCCCACACCACACCACACTACACCACACCACACCACACCACACACCACCCACACCTTCACCACACCATATTTTCACACACCACACACACCACACCTTCACCACACCATACTTACCACACCACACCACACCTTCACCACACCAGTGTTCAAATGGCAAAACAATTACAAAGGGTATTCGATCCCCTTTGAGCTGTATAAAGGGTATTCGATCCCCTTTGAGCCGTATAAATGGTTTTCGATCCCCTTGACAGTATAAACGAAAGAAAGATCAATGGTTTATGGGTTTTTGTTTACATTTTCTCTGGAATCTGATCCTAAGGTCTTAAATAAATTAATCCTCTGAACTACAGGGTGAGCATAAAGTTTTCCTGATTATGAAAAATCATATCTCGAAGACCATTCTAGATAGAAACATGAATGTTGTAGCATTGTGTAGACGAATTCATAGATTTTTTTTCATGCATATTTGCTGCAAAAAACTGTATGTTTGTACCTAGCATATGTTTAATGTAATAAATGTTTGTAATCAGGGAAAGACTTTATGCTTACCCTGTATATCGACAGAAAAATATCCAAAGCTTAAGATAATTTTCATCAAGATTATAACCAGAGAGAGAGAGAGAGAGAGAGAGAGAGAGAGAGAGAGAGAGAGAGAGAGAGAGAGAGAGAGAGAGAGAGAGAGAGAGAGAGAGAATACATTAACCTTTACATCAAACAAAAAACATAAATTATCAATTTTTTCACAAATGATAATCTATACATATTTAACACTTGATATTACGAACTAAAATTAACAATATTCAACTTTAGTATAACCTAAACCAAACCATTTTACATTCAGTTATTTAACATTTTACTTCATTTTAATTTTCTTTTGTTTTTATCGTCTGTGTCCTTGTGTGTTTTTTTATTTATTTTATTGATTGAATTCTGTCTCCTTCTTCAATAACTTTAGATCTGAAACGCACGAGGAACTTGAGACAAAACTGTGGCGAGTGGTATTGTTGGGGAGGGGAGGTGAGGGGGGGTGAGAGAGGGTGAGGGGGAAGGGGATGAGGAAGGGAGGGGAGAGAGGTGAAGGAGGGGGAGGGAGGGGGAGGGAGGGAGAGGGGAGGAGGGAGAGGGAGGGGTGAAGGAGGAGAGGGAGGGAGGGGAGGGAGGGAGGGAGGGGAGGGAGGGGAGGAGGGGTGGAGGGGAGGGTGAGAGAGGGAGGGGAGGGAGGGGGGAGGGAGGGGAGGGAGGGGAGGGGAGGGTGAAGGAGGGGGAGGGAGGGTGAGAGGAGGGAGGGTGAAGGAGGGGGGGGGAGGGGAGGAGGGGAGGGAGGGTGAAGGAGGGGAGAGAGGGTGAGGGGGGGGTGAAGGAGGGGGGAGGGAGGGGAGGAGGGGAGGGAGGGGGGAGGGAGGGTGAAGGAAGGTGATGGAGGGGA